GATGACCTCCTGAGGTCCCTTCCAACCCTGATATTCTATGATTCTATGACCTTTGGCAAGTTACTTCAATACTTCAGTTTTTCCATCTGTAAAATAGGAATAAGGATTAATTTACCTTCTAAACATTATCATCATCGAAGGGGGGAGGATGGGGGAAAGAGAAGGAAAGGGGATGCATGGCCCTTTTCTGCTTGACATAGGGGATCTCCTTTCAGTGGTGGAGATATGGAGGGGTAGCATTGCTAGCCACAGACTAAGAGCTGATGAGCATCATGCGGGAGGTCAGATTAGATGATCATAATGGTCCCTTCTGACCTTAGAGTCTATGAGTCTATGAGCATTTCATTCTACTCAGCAAACCCACCAGTGACATCACCCGACAAACAGACTTTGGAGAGGGAGAAAAGTTGAACTGAAAGTTGGGATGAAGCTGTTTTGCAATGCCTGAACAGTAATACCATTGCTGTGGGCTGGGGATAGCCAAGCCTTTTGACACTTGATTTAGGTCACACAATGATTACAGGATAAATACGCAACTTTGGGAAATCTGTAAAACTTGACTCGCAAAAGTGGATCTGTGAGATGTTGATGTTACCATTTGCTTGTTAAAAACAAGGGTTTTTTGCGGGTGGAGGGGAGGACTTTAGTTCTTGTGGGGGGTAGGGGAGAAGGAGACTGCAGCTCTTAGGAACAGCTCTTAACCTTAACAGGTCTATTGTTGTTATTTTTGAAAAATTAATCCTTTTAATCGCTGTGGTTCTTCCCCAGCTAATACCCCGACACAATAAACCTAGACACCCCATCAAAACAAATTGATGGGCCCCCAAGAATAGTTTTCTGAAATGAATAGGTTTTAAGCTTGATTTTTAAAGGTCTGTTACCCAGGAAATAGAAGTGCTTTATGTCCTCAGGTATTGGCTACTGAAGAAAGACAAATCCCAGATATTTTATACTTCAGTATGTTTATTCTCCTTTGTTTGATCTCTTATTCTTCTCTTCCAGGGGATTCTCCTGGGGTTTGGGAATTGCTGGGGTAGGGGGCAAAGGGAGGGCTGGCTCTTTCAGAACCCTTGAAGAAAGTGGTGTATCTGGAGCTTCTTTGAGCTGTAACAGGGGCTCACCTGGCTTCCTGCTCAGCTGCTCTTAGTTCACCCATCCTACTCTAAAGTTTATATTGGCAACACTGCTTCCCATCTGGGATTGGAGATGCACATTGCACACCAGCTCACTGCATCAGTTAGGAACGAGAGGAAAAGTGACACCATGCAGAAGAATTTCTGTGCTGTGAGAGGACCTCTGTCATCTGATGTAGAAATGAGGGGCAAGGCTTGGCAATATCAGGAAATGGGGAAAAAGTTCAGGACTATGACAATTATGAAGTTGAACTGTGTCTCTTTGCAACAGCCTTGGCCATTACCCTACAAAAATCTGTCCCACTGAAGTGAAATAGAAGGAGGAACTGGAAAGAACACAGGTTCCCATGTTAATTGGTTGGAATAAAGTACTATCTGTGTGTGCATGAGAAAGAGAGAGAGAGTGTGAGTGAATAGGATGGGGAAAAGCTGTTTCCTTTTTACCCACACATGTACCATTTGAGCTCTGGGCTCCACTGTAATTTTATTTAGCCTTTGCGTTTCTTATTATTATCCTACACCCAAAAAAAGTACAGGGTCATATTTTCATCCCCATCCATGCCTCTGATTAGTCTGCACAAGATTCTATAAAAGGGTGTAGATCCTGTGTGCATTTTTTTTATTTTTCAACTCTGCATTTCATTGGCAAACACAATTCTCATAGACTCATAGACTTTAAGGTCAGAAGGGACCATTATGATCATCTGGTCTGACCCCCTGCACGCTGCAGGCCATAAAACCATCCCCGCCCCTTCCCTGGACTCTGCTGCTGAAGTCCCCAATCCTGTTATTAGTGACCTCAATCGGCAGAGACCCTCCT